AAAGAGTTCTTGAACTTGTTTTTGTAAGTTGTTTAGTTGTAAAGGTGGTTTCACTTGGTTTCTCTTGTTTTTTTGGCAGGTTTCTCTTTTTCTCAAAAAATTACCAAAAAAGGAAATTTTCTAAAAATTTGGGGATCAGCGGAAAGAGTTTTTTTTTTATTTATTTAATATTTTGATAAAAAATAAGTCATGATAATATAATTATAAATATATTAAATAAAAATTATAGATCCTAAATTATTATTTATTTATTTTTTTAAATTAATTTAGCAATTTATTATTGTTTAAAATAATTTATAGTAATAAACTATTAACAATAATTCTAATAATAGAGATTAAATATCAATTTATTAAAAAGGTGAAATGTTATGAATTAAATATCAATTTATTAAAGAAGTGAAATATTATTTTTTAAATCTAGCTTAATTTAAACTTTATTTTGCTAAGTTTAAACTAACTTAATAAACTTTTTATATTTTTTAAATAATATAATCCTTCAATTAATAATATATGATAAGAAATTAATTATTATATAAATAGTCTATATAATATTATAAATGTTTATTTATATAATAATGATCTATAAAATAATAATAATAATAATAACCTGTAAGCATTAAACTTTATAGTTAAAGGATAATCCAAACTATAAAAGGAACAAAATATCATCTTCTAAGTTGTATTTAGAAAATGAAATTTCGATGATAGGTGAACTGATATGGAAAGTTATTTAATTTGTAATTATTTCCATAAAGACAAGCCATATTAGCCTGATGGCAGGTTAAAAAAAAAAATTATAAATGTTTATTTAATATTTCAATAAAGACATATTATAATAATACTGTATCATTACAGGTTAAAAATATATACTGTATATCTACTTAAAAGTCCAATTCAAGTTTTTTATCTTACATAGACAATAAATTCTTGAACAAAAATTTTTAAAAGTAAATTTACTGTATAATACTGAACTGTAAAATGGATTTCAATAATAATTTTTTCTTAGATTTAAATTATTTCGAAAAAGTGATAAATTTTTTTAAAAAGAAAAATGATTACAAAATAGCTTTGCACATCTGAAGAAATTTTAAATAACTGAAAATTTTAAATAAAAACAGGTTTTATTGTTCGTTTCAAAAATCAAATGAAATCAAATGTTATTTGAATTGATTAAATAAAATTATTCTTTTTAATTAAAAATTTAAGAATTTGTAAATAACCCAATACATAGATTATCAATTATTTTTTATATTCAACTATGGATTCTAATGATATCCTTTTAATTATAAAGTTAGGAATTTTTTACTTAAGATTAATTTTACACAGATCAAACATCGTACTAAAATAATCGAGCGTGGGAAGGAAGAACTGTGGCTAATCTTCTGCTTGTACGAATGGATTTGGGATTTCTTCTGTGCCATCAATAGGTGATATTAATATTACGGCCGGACCACGACAAACGATTAGTCCGAGTGACCGGACTTCATTCAAGAGATGATTGTCTTCGGGATCTAATAAAATAGTTGGATTATTAGAGAAGAACATATTTTATGGTTACAAATAATATAACACAGCACACATACCTCTCAATTGTTCTTCGGTATCGTCGAGTACCAAATTCAACAATGGATCATAACCCTTCAGTGATCCAGTTACTTCATTTTGCAAGGCAAGAGTGGAAAAGTGTGATGAAAATTCCATCAAATCTACCTTAATTATGGGGAACTTGAAAATTACGCACTCACCCTCGCGTCCTCCATTAAACTTTACACGTATCTTTTTATCCATGTACTTTGAGAGATCGAGTATCGATTCTTTCTTAGGCTTTGCATCAGGACCTCCAAAGGTATGACCTCCTCTAGCGTTACCACGTCCGCCTCTACCACTTCCACGTGTTGCACCTCTGCCTCTACCCTTAGATTTACGGTTTATAAGAAAAACACTTTGCTCAAACAATAGACGCGCGGTATATGTTGTAAACGCTAATTTTGTAACTTACCCGTTCAGACATTTTCTCTCAAGGAAATTAGTTGTATTATTGGGACCTGAAGTCTTAAATTTTGTACAGGATTTGATGCCTGAAAATCGAAAGCTCGTTGAACACGTGAAGGTGTGGTAACGAGTGACTGCTCTACTTGTACATACGTTGCACCTCGATATAGTCACAGCCTTAGCATGATCACGCCTACGTGATTCCGATCCAAAAATAGGCTTATTTTATGGATCAATCTTCTTTGATAAAGTATACATGCACTTCAATATCCCACAGGTAATCTTTCCAAATTTGTTGTGAATTATATCCAACAATTCTTAATTCACATCTGTACAATGAAAGGTTCAAAAAAATCAAAATTCAATAATGTTAATCGACAAACAAATGGTGATAATGAGAGTAGCGAGATTGATGAAATCTTTATGTTAGCGAAAAATAAAAAGGAGAACTCTAATTCTTTGCCTATCCAAGAAGCAAAATCAAAGGAGACCACACCAAGCTCTGCGACAAAATCATCTGATTTGTCCGATTCCACGGTTTCGTCTAACAGAAATTCTGAGCCCAATGAAAAAGGAAAATCCAAATCCTCGAAGGTTGAGGAATTTGTGTTTAAAGTACCGGCTATACCCGACCGTCTAAAATCGAATAAGAGAAAATTAAAACAAAATGATGACGATGGGTTTGGTGACTCTCGTGGAACGAAGAACCGTGGGTATCGTAAAATGGAATTTCTTTTATCATTGTGCAATATACTGAGAATACTTCATTATTAAAAGGTAAGAAGACAGAGGATGGGTTCGCTATTTATGATGTCAGTGAATTAAACATTGGAAATGGTGGAGGTATTGGTGTGCTGCATCATTCTCTCAGCTCACTTTCATCTTATTAACCAATAATTCAATAATTCAATCAATTTGTAAGATACACCGTTATGTCCATTCGACTGCGATTGCTGTAAGAATTTTTTAGATTCTCAAACTATTGTTCATCGTGTCTTTTAATATATTTATTTAATTTCTTTGTAAAATTTACAGGTTTCTGAGCCTCGATTAAATATGGGGGGGTGTAATTGATTGCGTACATTGTATTCTGATGAACACCAATGTCAGCTTCACTGAGTTAAAGATGACATTGAAACAAGCGACACCAAGAGCATCCTCAAGATCAATCGATTTTGTATTACGTTAATAGGTCACTTAATGATCATTATTAGTCATTTAAATTTCTTAAACAGAATACAATGCATCCAGAAATCCACAAGCAACCTCGTTCACGATAGTTTTGTCCGGTAAACGGGCGGCCAAACCATAAATTGCCGCTGTTTCACTGGATTTTTGATTTGGCTTGGATTTGATTTCGTCCACACATTCTTGCAGATCGATTAAGAATTGTTCGGCACTTAGTACTGTTAATAGCGTGCATGCTATATGAACCGCAGGGGGACTCTGGAGAGAGTTCAGATTCCAACCTCGCTTGGTCATTTTATCACCGACGTCATACACATTCAACGTATTTGATCCGAAAGCTACTACCGATACCAGTGGTTTTCCACATACAAATAGATCATCCATTTTGCGGATACTGTGTTGAGCGAAAGAAATTAATCTTCTTTTAAGTTACAATAACATATCAACACAACATGTATTAGCTTACCCGGCCTCAATCTTTTTAGCACATCCCACGATTTTTTTTGTTGCATCAATGTACCCGGACTTTCCCATTTTCACCATTGTTGCCCAGCATCCGGCAATAAGCGCCCCTGGACTGTTAATTTATGACAGAGGATTTTTGAATCTTTGGAATATTATCAGCTTTAAAAGGGCGTTACACGAATCTCTTTGTTAAATTACCGTGAACCAGCCATGGTTGGCGAAGCATAAATTCCTCCCATCCAATCAGGCGCCAAGAAATATTGATATTTCCGAATCGCCTTCGTACGATACATCACCACTGATGTTCCCTTTGGCGCAAACCCATACTAATAATAAATTATTAAAATTTGTTATCGCCAATTCTCCTAACCGGCTAAAACGGTAATAGCATGGGATAATAAATCAGTGATCAGTTACTTTATGCGTGTCACAAGAGATTGATGTGACTCCGGGTACTCTGAAATCAAAAAGTTGAGTGGGAAATCCTGCCTCCTCCAAGAAGGGCACCAAAAAGCTTCCCAAGCAACAATCAACGTGCATCCCGATTTTATTTTTTTCGGCAATTGAGGCCAATGTCGGAATATCGTCGATAATACCGTGAGGGTAGTTCGGAGCCGATCCGGCGATCTGGAATATTTTCTCATCGTTAGGAGTTGCCATTGGTTTTCTGATAATTTAAATAGTCTTATCTTACCATAATTGTATTTCTGTTGACCGCTCTGCTAACAGCTTTGGTGTCAACCCTGCGGGTTACGGGGTCAATTGGAATGTGAATTAGTTTGATGTTGAAATAGCCTGCCGCTTTATCAAATGCCGCATGAATGGTATCCGGGACTACCCTAATATATTAAAACGAATGGTTAACGCGTCTATGATAAATTGGGTTTTGCCAGATAAAACCTTGAAACTTGCATTTCAGGTTCGGTGATTCCTTTTTCATTTCTCGCCCAATCACGATAGGCTTTGCAAGCCATCAGGATGCTCTCGGTACCACCCGATGTGGTGGTTCCTGCTGAACCGCTTGGCGCATTATACATATTCAACACCATGGAAACGATTTCGGCTTCCATTTTGCGTACACCAGGGAATACTTCGGGATGCAGAGGGTTGCTTACAGAAAACATCGCGTACGCATCTGAATACAACTTTGTAAGTTCATGACCTCCGTGGTATACCGTGCCTGAAATGCGACCTTCTTCCCAATTCACTTTTTTATAATCTTGGTATCTAAGTTGATCGCGTCCTTTAGCAATAGACGGTAGGATAGATGCGTAAAAATAACACCACGAATGGTTAAATTGCTTTACCTCTTTAATTCCTCCATAATCTTTTGATCGTCAAACCCAACATTGGGTAGGAGGAGATAACTCGGGCCCGAATCTTTAGGCGCGACTTTTTCTTCCAATTCTTTAATAACTTCATCCAGCTTTTCTTGAATTTTTCCTTTTGCACCTGGTGCACTGGTAAGCACTTTTAACAATCTACCACCAACGAGCTTATATAGATCGTCGAGACTACGACCAACCCCTTGAACAGCAAGCTTTCTCACTATGATTCTAGCATAACGATAGAATACTAAAATGAATACGATGTTCTTGACTTGATTTAAGCGAGGGGAGTTAAATAATGTGATGGCTGCATCCATGATTGAAAGGCTTGCAGCCAAAGGTGTTGTGGAAGAGAGGGAAAACATTTTTCGGTTCAGAGTTTCAAAATTCACACGCTTCATATAAATAAATAAAGGCAAACTCTAATTGCTTACTAATTAAGGTAATCTCATATGCTGTTTCTGGTGTGCTTCTGTGTGGATTCATTCCATATGTACTATACCGCGTTTATCTTTTTTTAAAAAAAACCCAATTCTCAATGATCTTGGCGAGGCAGACGGGTTGTCCGAAAATATTATTTCGAATAAGTTTTTTTGTGTAAGGACGATTATTTTGTATGCGAATTTTTTTGATCCCTATTTTCTTTTGCATGCTATATAAATTTTAGCACCACAATTGCCAAATCAGAAAAATCCCCGTCCGCCTTCGAAAATGATTACTCATATACAGTATAACGAATATTGGGAAGTTTTCGAATTCCAATAGTCGAATTTAATACCGTACTTTATGAAATTCAATGATTAAATTTAATTTGACTCTTTTTTTTTCCTTTATCTATATAAATCAAGATTATCCATATTTTGACATTTTAGTTAATGCCAATTTTTTTTCATAAACAAAAATTTTTTTTTTTTTAAGAATCACAAGAACTTCGCCCGTGATTCTATCACCGGAGATCGTCAGAAGAGCGATTGGCAAATTGAATTCCCGATTAGTCCAAGAATTTTTGTGATAAAATTACCAAGTAATCGTCATAGATGCTATTTGATAATTCCAGAGGCCATTTATTATCTTTTCTCTCTCCCTTTTCTACTCGTCATTTAATTATTGTCCATATGAGGCAAGTCTGGTTGGTTGGTTTATCTAAAAAAATCATTGATATTATTTTTATTCCCCAGATTTTGATTGAATTGTCAAAAATATTGCTAATGCAAATGAATGAAAAATAGAAATCTTAATCTTATCATTAAATTATAAAATTACACCTCTCCATAAGATATATACAGCATATACAGTATATTATTATGATTATTATTATTTTCTTACGAGTAATTCGTCACTGTGTATACATCATATTATATCAATCAAACGTTCCAGATGTATTGCATTATAATAAAAAAGCATTGAAGATTGCGATTGCTATTGCGTAATTGTTTTCAATCTAAAAATAAATTCTGATTTCAGTTATCAATTAATTTTCGAAGAGATATTGTCAAGGTTTTTATTGAACGAGAAATGTGACTTTATTTAAATTTTCGGTATCAAGCTAGATATTAGGAGTCAAGTGATAAAGCTAATTCTATTGTAAGGTCTTCCTCATTTATTTTTATTTCATTTAGGTATACATTTATACTTCTTTTCAACCTAACCAATAAATATCGAAGACCGTAGCTATTACTTCCCTATGCTACTTACTACAAGGCCAATGATAACCTTTTAGAAAAACTTAAAATAACACTCTTATACTTTGTTTTTTAAATCAATCGTGTCTTCTCGATTTACACCTACACCAATCCATTCGACTACAAATTACATGGGAATATTAGAATCACATGCGTGCCATCATTAAATAAGCGTTAGCATAAAATGATTTACCAGGAATTCCTAAATAATCCTGAATCATTTTCACATATTTCTGCGCGTTTTCAGGTAGGTCGGAAAATCGGCGACATTTGGAAATATCACTTTTCCAGCCCGGAAGCGTCTCATATTTCACGGTAATCTTTTCGAGGATCTCTAGATCGGCTTTTCACGTAACACTTCGTCAGTCATGGCACTGCTATTCCGAGAGGATTTTACCAAACAATTGTACCTGGGAAACTCTCCAAAGGTTTATCATCCAGAAAATATGCAACAGCCACTTTCACTTCAGGGAGTTGATCTAGTACATCAAGTTTAGTAAGATTTAAACTATAAAGAGGTCAAAAAAAAAGAGATATGTACAAAGAAAAAAAATAAAATAAAATAAAAATAAAATAAAAATTCGAGAATTAAAAAGTAATCCTTATTGAACTTAACAAGGGATTGCTTCTTTACCTTGTATATCCATTGATCAGAGCGGAATACTTTAAGACCACAAGATCGAGCCATCCACACCGACGCTTTCGGCCGGTTGTCGCGCCAAACTCCGCGCCAGCACGTTGTAAGTATTCCCCCGTTTCCTAAACAATTAATACCAATTCATATGTGAACAAAAAATACATCGATCATGAACTGATTCAAATGGTAGACGATGATGCCTACATCGAGGAGTTCGGTAGGAAATGGACCGCCTCCTACTCTGGTCGTGTAAGCCTTAACGACGCCCACTATCTTATCAATCTTAGAAGGAGGAATACCCAATCCAGTGATAACCCCACCCACGGTAGTGTTTGAGCTCGTTACGTACGGATAGGTGCCAAAGTCAAGATCAAGCATTAACGCGTTGGCACCTTCAACGAGAATTTTTTTGCGTGAATTTAGACAGTTTTGCATGAAAACAACGCTATCAACAACGTAGGGTTTAAGACGTACAGCAAGGTGCTGATTAAGAAAGTCGAGAATTTTAAAATGACTCATTGGATGAAATACGAGAAATGGCCAATGAAAATGGAATTTACTTTATAACGTTCGATCTCTGCCTCAACATCATATTCAAAATCTCCATATCGTTTCTTCTTGTTGGCCACCAGTTGACGAAACTTTTCCGCAAAAGCAAGATCGTTCGACAAATGGTGAACCCGAAGGCCAGATCGAGAAGCTTTGGATGAGTAGGCTGGACCAATGCCCTTCTTTGTTGTGCCAATACTAAAATTTGCAAGGTAGTGATGATTTCGGTCAGTTCGAGCTAACTCACCAAGGAAAAGATCAATGCAGGTGTCCGCCGTCACGTTTAAAACTAACAAAGGCCCTTTCATTGGATAATATGAATGATACACCTTGAGCGACCCAGTTCAATCTCCTTCAAGCCATCAACAATCTGATGAAAGTCAAAGACTAAATGCGCGCGATCGGAAATAAAGACTCGACCGGAAACATTTAATCCTATATATAAATATTTGCATTCATGTATGTCGTCTCTTGAAGTAACGGCGCGCAATTCAATTCACCAAATCATGCGACACAAACCTTTAAGCTCTAATTTTTTAATCTCTTCAAAGAACGATGGAAGGTGGATAACCACGCCCGAGCCAATAATCGAGACACATTTGGGGTTGATCAAGCCTAGAAGTTGATTCGAGCAGAGTATAAGTTTTAAGAAAATCTCCGAGAGATCATTGTTGGTGAGGAGTTTTTCTTACCTGATGGAAGCAGATGAAAATCGTATTTGATACCGTTCGCGACGATCGTATGTCCAGCATTGTTTCCACCCTGCATTTAAAAGAAAAAGGTAAAAATTCTTCCAATCGGCTCCGTCGAGTAAACCGAACCGCGCTGGAGGAATACTTACGGCGCAACGCGCACAAATATCCGCTTCTTGTGCCAACATGTCAACCAATTTGCCTTTTCCCTCGTCGCCCCATTGAGATCCCAAAACCACCGTCACACCTTTATCGGAAAGGTTAGAAGAAACTGAGGAATTCATGTGTAAAGCGTGAAAGGGATGAAAGTTCGATTAATCGAGTAGATCGAATCAGGTTAACGTCGAGTTAAAATAGAGAATTTGATTGGCCATCATTCATCCTGATCTCACTTATCACGCATGCACGATTTGTTTCCTGTGCTATCTTTTGTTATTACTTAAATGATAAATGACAATGGCAACCATTGGTGCCCGATAATTAGTGTACCGGGGGGGTGACTAATTTGTTCATATTGTACATAATGAATGGAACTCTTTTTGATGGTAAAACAATATTGATGCCGATATAATAATGATAATGATGCGGTAACGTCCGGATTTACAGTAGTGGTGGTGTTGTGTCATATTTATATAATAATAAATGGTTTTTCCAAAGAAAAATTTTTAAAATAACATATTTTTCTCATATCATTCGGAATATTCGAGAATGAAATTAAAATGGATTAATATATTATCGAAACGCGCTTAAGATGATTTTCATAAAATTATTTACAAGACAACCACCAGGCTTTCCAAAAATCTTTTGATCAACCCTGTGCTAATGTCTTTCTTACACAATTCATCACTCTAGAAACCTAGAGTGCCTTGGTACCATTTAGGGAAAGTAATGTCAGAGAGAAAAAATGAATTTACTAAATAAAAACTAGACCAAAAAAAAAAAAAAGATATTGAGACAGTGATTTGATGGTGGTGAGAATGAATCGCGGATGTCAGCAATATTATCTACATTATAATGGTTCACTTGGATTTGTGAGAATTGCGTATATTTGTATAATAATTTTATCAAACGTTCGCATGATTACACGTATACGAGATGTTATTACCAAACTCTATTAATAATGTAAAATGTCTAATTCACGATAACTTATTAATTACCATCACCGGTGCCGCATGCATCGTAATCTTAAAGAGTTAGTCGAATTGACGTTGCTGAGCCATGCTGCTTGATTCAGCTTCAAACTCTTCGTTACGATCGTCGGCTGACACGTAAAGTCGTCGTTCGTCTATGATACTGTCAATTTCGGCCCACAGAGTTTTAGGTGGTCTCTCCTGAGTGTCCGGATCGTTTCTGGGTGAAGTGGTGATTCCCTTCTTAAATCTCTCGTCGACCCATTCCCTCAGAGCTAATCTCTTTCCTCTATCAGCATCAATGCGGTACGGACTGATGTACGTGGCTAAGTCACGAATGCTGATACCATCATGGTCATAGTAATCATCATAACGATCAAATCGAAGGATGTAACGTCTAATGAAACGCATGTCATCATCTTCATCATCTGACTCTTCCGGCGGATCCTCTTCAAGGACCCTCAAGGTCTTATAATTAGTGTATTTATAGTACCAACTTAATTCAACAAAGGTTCTCACCACTGCCGCAGGATTGCCAATTCCGCATTCGACGTACTCGAGACACGAACGACTATTGTTTGGAAAAATATACCCATAATCGCCGAGCATCGAGGTGAGTAGCAAGTATCTTTCGGGTTTTGAAAGACCGGTATGGCAAATCCGCATGTTACAGAGTCTACAAAGTTGATGTTGAACCCAAATTCGCTTAGGACTGCGAAGTATGGTGAATGAATCTGTAACAATGGTGGGGGAGGATGACAACGTGGAACTTTGACTTGAAATTGCTAATGTATTACCACCTGATTCCTCGGGAATGACCAAAGGACTGTCGATACGATCGTCGCCTTGTCGAGTTTTGGCAATGATGGAAGTTACCGATGTCGTTGGGTCATCTGAAATAACTTCGAAAATTTCTAATCCTGATAGTTCAGTTTTAAAAGAGACTTGAAATTCCAAGCCATCTTCATCGAATATCTGGAACCAATTAGTCTTTGTGTCCCTATAAATTTCCGCGATACTAGACAAGTCCGTTGTCACTGGACGAATGCTTAATCTCTCAAATCCATTATGACGACCGCGAAAGCATAAACTACAGAAAGAATTCCAATCGCGCTCGACCACTTGTTTGTAAGTTTTATACTTTCGAGCCCTTGGCTTCGGTGGAGTCAAATTGAGTTTGGTGACCAGGTGTCGCCAGTAGAGATGCGAGTCGGCCGCGAGTTGCCAAGATTTACAAACTCTCGCAACGCGGGTATAGTGTACTGGATGGTCCACAAGATAATTGAAAATGTTGCAGAGAATTTCTTGAGGAATTCTCATTGCAATAGGAAGGTAAACGGAATTTATTGGGGTCGACGCTGGGCCTTTTCCTTTCAGGCGAGACTGGATTTTTGGACGTTTGTAGTTTTGACGCCTCGTAGAAATTATGCAATTTTCTTGTTCCATTTTTTCTTGAGGGATTCTCATCGCAATAGAAAGGTGAACCGAATTTGTTGGGGTTGAAGCCGTGCCTTTTCCTTTCAGACGAGACTGGGTTTTTGGACGTTTGTAACTTTGGCGCCTCGTAGAAATTATGCAAGTTTCTTGTTCCATTTTTTCAGTCCTATGAAATTTGATGGTAAGATTAAATAAATCAAACATTCAATGTGCTTTACAAATGGCAAACTTACTGGTGAACTTGCATTGCAAAATATTGAGTCGAACCAAAAGAAAAAAATAGATATTTCCTTCAGAGTTCGTTCAAGTACAAACAAAAATTGTTTCGTTGAAACAACTGTTAGCAAATATTTGCACAAGATGGATCCTTTATTGTTATTTAAAGAAGAAATGAAAAAAAAAAAAAACAAGTTTCCGAAGGTTACGTTTTATAATTTTTTGACTAACCAACAAATAGAATTACGTAGATATTATGACACATGACTGTGCGTATAACTAACTTATATAAATATTGCTGCGCGTGATTATCAAAGACAAAGTGTATAGGAAAAAGATCGTAACACGAAAAATGATGGGAAACACAACTAACCAAATAACATTTATTTGTAACTTGGAGAACACATGGGTGGAAGGGATTTGGGTGCATATTGTAAAAAGATCCGCTTTCGTAGAATTCTTTTTGCCATGGAATAAACTCCCAGAAATTTCTCTGAATTGCACACAGTCATTAAAAAGTACATTTGAGGCACTTTCTAAAGAGGTTTTTTGCGTGAAATATGGGTTTAGCTAATTCATTGTGTTTGCAAAATGTGGGTCTGAAAACTCGGATTTGTTTGTTTAATTCCATATTTATATCCTGTGGCCTTTGCATTTTTCTGAATTTTTATACAACCAGGGAAAAATTCTGCTAATTGCAACCTTATTCTGAGTTCCGTATTTCTATTACATAATAACTGAAATGATTCGTTTTTTTTTTTCCTGATTAATTTAATTAATTATAATTTTACAGTGTATGTATAGTATGCAACAAAACGATTTTATGTTTATTTAATATTTGTAGGTTATACATAAATTTATATAATGTTAAAACTAATTCTTTAACTAATTCATTTATTTTAGTTTAGTATAACTTTATTAATAATTTAAATAAAAATCTTTTTAACTATTAATATTATTGTTTATAGATTACTATTGTAAATTACTTTTTTGATTTTTTTTTTTTATATTGCTTATAATCAAGTTAAATTGGGTTTTTTTTTTTGAGTACCTGTAGTCAAACTAGATTGTCAATTTATTAATCAATTGAAAATAAAGTACATTTTTATTTGAGTAGTATATTATATATTATAGTTAAACTATTATTCTAATCTAACTAACTCATTGTAAGTATAAAGGTCTCTAAGTTTGGCTTTGAGAACAATATTTTATTTTGTAGTGTCTTTGAATAAAAACCATTTTAGTTCACTATATCATTATCAATAGGTTGTCACTGTCATATATCATATCAAGCCACTAGAATACAGGAAACTACAAAAGGATAGGTTAAAAAAGGGAAAAGGAATATTTAAAAATGTCTAAGCAGACAATAAGAAAATAAAAAAGTAAAAATTGAAAAAATATTTCCAACTTTCTTCAAAGACCTGCTTCTCAAGATCTCTTCTTAACAAAAAATGTCTGATTGGGATATCCTTTCTTTTTCTGACCGTTTAAGAAACTTATTCATTCTTAATCTTGATTTTCTTCTTGTATACTATTTGAGGAAACTTATCGCCTAGTAGAAGCCTTTATTTTCAGGACACACTTGGTCCCAACCTTCTTTGTGCAGTGATTTTTTATCCACCTGCAGTAGAGAGGTAATTTATGATGGACCCCAGGTTTTTATGTGATCTAGTAAGGACTAGACCATATTGTTTCAGTATGATACTTTCCAGTAGCCACACCTAATTAAAAGAATATTACTGGTATACATCTTCTATTATCCAAAAGGTCAGATTCTCCAATAATTCTTTTGCCTTGTAATAGTGAAAGGGTAACAGTAGTGGTGGGAATTCTCGTTAATTGTGATATCCTTCAACAACTTCTGAGGAAATGCATTCTCAACTGTAACTAAAGGGTTGAAGCTTAGCATAGACTAGAGACCATTCGGTCTTATTGCCTGACTGGGATAAAATAGAAACCTTGGTCTTGAACTTTGCCTGTCTGGAATAATAGGAGAGAAAGACCTTAGCTTGAAAAAATAGCAAGTTTTTCACCACTTGAGGACTTGTTACTCGTATCTTATTGATCTCATAATACTTAATCTGTAGGTTAACCCAATTGGAGGAATGGGGTGGATACAGGACACCAATCAAATCTTTCTATTATCAATGACAATATCAGAATACATGAGGTGACCAGTAGGTACTTGTTTATATTCAGCTACTAATATGTTCGTGTTCACCAATCATATTTTGTAATAGATTATGTCATCTAAAATTCAGAGTCAAACTGAGGTAGGCAAAATTCTTCAGAAAACCAAAAAAATTTTGGATAACTATAAGAGAGAAGAAATAGTGAACAGACACTTTGAAATATGGCTTGATGTTTGTCACCTCCTATTGCAGAAAACCTCTATAGACATGTTTCAATATAAAAGACTTCAAGTATCACACTATTAGTTCTTTTTACTTTCAGAACTTTCTTGCTGTAGGTAAAGAAGATGTTTCTTGACTTTTCTAGGTCACAGGAAGCCAAGTTTTTGTTTGAAAATGAATATAAACAAGAGAAAAGGTTTGGGAATATCTTTTAAAGTAAAACTTTAAGTTGGTTTAAGAATAATGTTAAGACTTTATTAGCAAAAAAATAAAAAATTTCTTGCGAACATCTTTTTTATATATGGACAAAGGATTAGCGGAAAGAGTTTTTTTTAACCTATATAAGCCTTATATTTTAATATTTTTTTTTTTTTTTTTTTTACAAGTGGTCAAGCCAGTACTGTGTATAGGGATCTCAATTTTTATCCAAATATGAATGATCCATGGATTTGATCTGAATGAATCGGATCGGATTTTAAATTTTTTAATCTATTTGTATATGAATCAGATACAGATTTCAAGTTTTAAAACCTAGCCAGGTTAAATAAAAATCAGCAGTTTAAATGTAGCTATTTAAGGTAATT